TCAGGGGAAGGAATAACTACCTAACCTATTTAACTCCTCATTATTTTAGGTTTTCTATAAACAGTATTAACTAATATAGATCCCGGACATCAGCTGCCTCAACAAAAGTGAATTATTTGGTACTATTAAGATGCTGCAATCTTAAATGGAAAAGTCTCAGATGTCAAATTCTACTATACGAATATTCAAAAAAATGCCTATTATATTTGCGCACACCTAGTACCCAGTTCTCTTAGAATTTTCTTCCACATTTTGAAGCAATACATTTTTTACTAGTTACACAGCCACAAATTAGTTTGTAATGGGATTTCCATAAAGCTATAGTAAGAAAAATATTTGGTATGACCTCTCAGAGCTTCTCATGATTTAAAAGACAAAATATATGAAGCATACATACCTTCAGGTTCATACTTCAGTTTTAACTCATCTATTTTAGCTCTCAGTTTCATATTTTCACTTTGGAAACGCTGGAGGCATCTTTCATTGGCAAAAAGTTTTCGCTCAATATCCAGAGCCCGCTGGCTCTCAAATAATGCTTTCATTCTCTGTATGGACAATTCACCCTTAGTGCTTTCATTTTCTTTGCTATATTAATAGGGGAAACCAAGAAATATTAAATGAACGTAAATGTAGTTGTCAGTGCAAATCTTTTATTATATATTTAAACTGTTAGTAAAAAAAATACATTTCCATGGGGTTTTTAATAACAAAAAAACAACAAACAAAATAAGCTTTAAGAGCGCTTTTAAATTGAAAAAAATCTCATGCATTCTTCAAAGGAAATGGACAATGGGGAGGGATGTTCTTTCCACATTTATGCATGTATAAATATAATCCTTTAAGTTTAAAATTATATATTTATTCTTGAAAAATTTAGATTATAAGAATATTTTCTACATTAAAGTTCTTTTCACTTACCAATCTAAGAAGCTAAAACATTTAATTATTCATTAAAAGTCTTGTTTCTTCAATAATTAGCACTAATTATATCTTGAATAAATCTCATTTGCTGCCCAGAGATATTTTTGTTGCCTTCTTTTTTGGAATTTCTTTGGTAATGTAAAACAAAATCTGTAGTTACTGACACTACTTATTATAAACAAGTCAGAACAGTCTCCATCTTTCCATCCAAATGACACTTACTTTAAGTTGTCAAGCTTTATCTGAAGTAAATCTGTGTAATAGGTGTTATCTTTCAGAGCAGCAGAGTTGTCTGAAGGTTTAGATTCCATACTTTCATATAAACTCTGAAGAAAACAATTCTTATTACTTAAAATAAATAACGTTAGGTTAGCATATGTTTATTAATGATATCAGCTGCCACTTACTGAATGCTTATCACATAGCAGGCACTGCACTAAGCACAATCCACTTAACTCGCTTACCTTCTGAACAGGTACAAGAATGGGCATTCCCCTCATACAGATAAAGGAACTGGTTTAAGATGCTACAGGCAAGTAAACTGAGAAGAGATTCTGAACTAAGATCTGTTTCCCAAGCCTAAGCTCCTAACCACATCTGTAGCCTCTGGATTCTCTCTCCTTTTAAAATGGAAGAAATACACTATGGGTTTAATTCTGGCCTTTCTGACAAAGCCTCAAATTAGAAAAATATAAAAAAGGGTAGAAATACTTAGTCATTTTTGGTGCCCCGTCTTCTGAGATTCTGATGGAATCTCTATATAATTTCTCTAGAGGAAAAAAATTTTCATCTGCTTAAAAACTGGTAAATAATTTTAAAGATTGCAGGTTAAAACCTCTTGATTAAAGCCATTATTTTCAAAGTATAGTGCTGAGCCCACTAGTGGGCCACATACACCTGCCAATTGATGTACTACAAATTTAACCGAAATTATAGTCCTTTTGACAGTCCTTATAAGAGAAAATTATGTAAACTTAAAGTTTCATAATATACTAATGGCTACAATTAAGAATACCTAAGAGGTTAACATTTTAAAAATGTCATTTATAAAATTTAATTAGTTCTTCAGTTAGTGAGAAGTTATCTGAGCTCCCTAATTTATAAATTCAATTAATTCTAATAAAAATACCAACAAGGCTTTTTTAGAGCTACACAAGATGTTCATAGAGAAAAACAAATATGCAAGAGTAGCTAGGAAACACTGAGAAAGAAAAGCTACTTCTGTAGCATTCCTGTCAAAAATACATAGCATGATTCTAATCACTTCACAAAAACCCAAAATGAGGGACAATCTACAAGTAACTGGCTTTCTCTTCAAAAATGCCAGGGTCATGACTGATAAAGATGGAAGACTTATTTCAGAGTAAGGGCAACTAAAAAGACTTGATAATTAAATACATGTAATAATGGATTGGACCCCAGAAAGAAAAGCATTCGGGGTATTTTTGTTTTGATATAAAGGACATTGAGATAATTGTTAAAATGTCAAAGACAGCTAATACTAGGTATCGCTGTTAATTTCCTGATTTTGATCATTGTACATGGTTATGTAAGAGGATGAACTTCAATAACATTGAGGTACAACTTACAAGAAAAGGAATATCTGGTTTGCAACCTACTCTCAAATGTTTAAGAAAAAAACATACATAGAGAGAGACAGAGAAAATAATAAAGCAAATGTAAAGCTGACAATTGGGGAACCTAGGTGAAGGGTATACAAGCATAATTTTATAAGTTTTCTGAAAATTTGAATTTATTTCAAAAATTTTTTTAAGAAGTAGTTTATTAAAGATTTCTACAACATAATGTTGGACAATGTGAAAAAGCTCCTACTGTACATCTATTAAAAAATGAGGTGGACAGCATGAAAAATAATCAATTGCTGATAACACGCAACATGAGGAACAAACCTCGCTGATGTAATATTGAGTTGAAGATAGACTGATTCCATTTATATGAAGCTCAGGAATATTTGTACATGTAACGCTCATTGTAACTTTGGTATAAAAAGAGACATGTTAAAACTCAATGAGTTAAACTCTAAAGATATGGGCACTTTGAGTTATAATTTACACACAATAACAAGTATGAGGTTAGTTTACTCTGCCTCTACTAAAAAGAAGTGATACTCAGAAATAGTGAAAAGCAAAAAAGAAACTAGAAGAAAAAATTTAATAAACATATTCAAGTTAAAATATTAAGATATTCAAACCAAAATTTGGCTGTTTCTAAAGGTGTTACACATACCTTAAATTTCTCCAGATTTCTAATTTCACCCAAGAGATGTTTAATTTCACCATTCTTCTGCTCTAACATGGCAAACAACCGTTCCTGCTGCTCAAATTCAGTTTGAGACCCTTTCATTTGCAGCAATGTGGCGATTTGTAACTGGAAAAAACAAAATTAACCACCCCCCCTCATAAAATTGAGTGGGGGAGAGGAAGATTCTGATAACTATAGCTTTGGTATAACTCATATTTTGTACATTACTTTGAACTCATTTTGAAAATTAAACTAATTAGCTATTTCTAGTCTAATAATCTAATAACCTGAAGACATTTATATCAAAAAGTGTAGATACTTATCTTGCCTATTTATGAATGATATATGAAGTCCATAACAATTATGTGTACTTCTATGAAACATAATTGAACTGCATGGCTTTGGTCTGGAAGCATATCACTTCACTGATAAATAAGCCTGGCCAAATGCTGTACTCTACTTATCATACACACTCTCATTTAAGAGTCTGATGAGGTTTATAAAAAAATTTAAATAACTTCAATAGTATTACGTGGGAGAAATTAAGCTGCTCACATTCACAAATGTGAGATTCATAAAGCACAAGGATGGAAAGCAAAGGGTAAAAACGCAATCAAAGAATATTGAAGAAATATTCGATATATATTTTTTCAATGTTTTTTAAGAGCAGCAATAAACTTACCTAATTATGACTCCACTTAAACCTAGAGTCACATAGCAATTGAAAAGAAATTAACTAAAATTCCCACCTAGCATTTCTTTCTGCTTCAGAAATTTCTGGAGTTCTAAAATGTGTCAATTAGTTTAAATATAGTTTCAAGTAAAGCAAACAATGATATAAGAGTGCAGGTATTGCTACAAGAGAGAAAGACAGTGTTTAACATTTTCAATGATCCATTTTTTGTTTCTGCTTCAGACTGGTGGCTAAATACATTTAGCCTAAGAAGATCCAGAATGCTACTTATGTCTAAGGTAACTTCGGTAGTATTAAGTGCGGGAAATTATTACAGTTTGAGATATCATAGGAACGTTGGGAGATTAACAGTAGTAGCCCAACAAATACTGAAAGAAAACAGAGCAAATATGAAAAAATTTACAAAGACATCATTCTCAGATACGAGAGAGCCTCAGTACATCAGGCCGCACAGTCAAAATTCTAAGAAATAAAAGCCACAGCTATTTTTTATTAAGTCAGCACTTCTTATTTGCCAAGTACCATCTAAGTACTTTTGTTTATGCTTTTATTTAACTCCAGGACAATTCTAAGAGGCAGGTTCTATCATCTCTACTTTATAGAAGAGGTGACTGATGCTCTGAAAAGTAAAAATACTTGTCCAAAGTAACACGGCAAACAAGTGACAGAATAAAGATTCAATCCCATCTAATGCAAGGCTTAATCACTGACCTTTCCTACTCTAGAAAATCTCATCATCCAAAATAAAAGGCAAGAAGTTTTCCAGATTCCAAGTTATCATCTTAGGAGAGTTAGGTACAACAGGAATCAGGATTATAAGGGCTGGTATAATACTGAAATCTTTCCAATGTCCACATGTTTTTCTGTTACCATCTGTTTGACTAAAATGACGATCAAGAAACCCTTAACATTAAAAGGGCCTATATGCTTGACATAAGGAACTACAAGGAAAGGAAATACAAATTTCACCCTATAAATAAGCCTTTGGGAGAGAACTAAAGAATGGTGAGAAAGCTGGTTTTAGCTGAAGTAGAAACTTTAGGGCTATGCTCAAACAAACAAACAAACAAACAAAACACCAAGCCAACAGCAGGAAATAAAAACATTTGATTCTCTTTTTTCTCCACCCCACTAAGATAGATTTATATGTCTCTGACAAGGCTAGTGGAGTAATTATTTAAAAAAAATCAATCAGTGGATACTAAATACACTACTACTAAACCTTTACTATAGGATTTTAAAAAATATAAATAAATCTTTTGCTCAATTTAAAAATGTTGATTTTTTTCTGAAGTTCTAGAAATAACTTTCTAGTACACTCTTTGAAGGAAAAGATGCTTTCTTTGATATATCTGTACACGAAATACCAATACAAAACAGGTTTAGTAAATTTTTCATGGTGGTAATTCTATACCTTCATTCTTTGCATCTGTTCTCTATTAAATGCATTTTGCTTCTTTAGTGACTGATACTTGACTTTCATAGTGATAAACTGACGTTCCATTGCTGCCCTTCGATCTTCTACCTAGAAAATATTAACATGTTTAATTATGCTTGTATTAAGTGAAACGTTAATTTAATCATCGAAATGTCTGTACGAAATGTAAGGACCTCTGCAAACAAAGAGTTGCCTTTACTACTGGGGTCCAGGGCTTGCTGGAGTGCCTGGTCCAATTGCACTTGAAGATCTTGATTTGCTACACGAGCTTTCTAAATTCAAAAAAGAAAACAATTTAGCTAATAGACATTAGATTAGCAAGAAAACGACTTATTACAAATTAGAAAAGATGTTACCACAATCATAATACCTCTAGGGCATTATAGTAAGAAACTGCTTCTTTCTCTCGCTCCTCTTTTTCCTCTTTAAGCCGGTCTACCTGGCGTATTAAGTTAGAATTAAGAAGTTCTAGTTGTTCTTGTCTGTACTGTAGTTCATTCACTTCTTCTTTGAGGGTGGTCTATTTAACAAGAATTGAAAAAGAGGAAACTCATGAATAATCCTTTATTTAGCAGCTGCTCAGTTTACATATCAGCAATGATTCACACTTAAAACTAAAGAAGTAGTCAAAGGTTTTAAGATGCATAATAAAATAATAAAAATTACTAAAATTTTCAGCAGGGAATTAAATAAAAGGCTCCAGAGATTTTCTTTCCTATGTATTTAAGGCTTTAATTTTTAATGTTAGCCTGCAATGAAAAAACTATGTTCATATGCATATCAACTTCCAAAGGACAACATTTTATGTTGGGCATTTATGACACAAACTAGGATCAGAGTCAATTTCTCTAAATTCTTCTAGAGGTTTCATTAATCTAAGGTCTGCTTTATGTAATCATATAATCTAAAACTTTATTATACATGAAATAATCCACTTAAAAACTATATAAAACATTTTTAATTAGATCAAAATTAGGCCAAAAAACATTTCAGCCTTAAAACTAGCTCATAAGATTACAAAAACATGTAAAAAATATGCAAGAAGAAAACCTGAGAACACATATGCCATAAAAATTACCTTCACGCTTTCCATTTCAGTCAGCTCAATTTGAAGAGCCAGCATCTCTGAAGACATGCTTTCATGTACACGTTCAGACATTATCCGCATTTCCTCTGATTTACAAGAGAGGAGTTCCTTCTGATGATGTACTTTGTGCTTTAGCTGCTTTTCACTAAGCCTAGCTTCATCTAATTCTGCTTTCAGTTTTTCTAACTAAATAAAAAAAAAAAATTCACAATCTTATTAATCAAAAGGTTACTGAATGTCATCAGAACATAAGTTGCAGTACAAACTGTTTTGGTACCTGCACGATAACTATTTTGGAAGACTGTCAAGCAGAACAAAACTATTTAATAACTCTTCCTAAAATGTTACATAGTTCCAAATCTTGGTAAACTAAGAGCATAGCTTTAAAGGAAACAAACTTATCGCAGGAGGGTGAAGCTTCACGGTCAGTCCTAGGTTTAACCTGTCTCAGTTTCATCCCTCACATACAAAAGTGGTAAATGACTGTACCCACCAACACAACTCTCAACTGAGGCTCTCAACCGAGATTGGGTGGGTAAAACATTCAGGACCATGCCTAGCATTCACTAAATGGTTTCTGTTATCAATAAAAAACTTCTGCTTGGTATCCAAGGTAATGATTTTCATCTAAACTGAATTATCTTCAATAGCATTTCAACATTCTTGAAATATATCCTGATATTTTCTATTTAAAAAATTAGAGCCTCTTAGCTTGATTTGTTCTCCCTTTTCTACTTTCACGATATAAAATAAAAAATGTCAGCTGAATGATCTATGTGAATGGCCATCTCTGAAAAATATCACTGACTGACCCAAACGTACTGCATGATAAGACTACTGAGGTTTCTTATTTGGCCAAGCCTAGGCATCTTTTAATAGATAGTGGCATGCCTTATTTTATAAACATACAAATAATCCACATACATAAACAAAATAGGCCTGGATTCCTGACCCCTTTGGCTGCTGTGTGAAGAATGAATGGAACAAACAGCAATGACACAAGCAAACTACCTAGATAGAGGGCTATAGTAGTAGTCTGGGAGAGAGATGGTAGTGATCTTCACTAGAGTGGTAGGAGCGCAGATGAATGTTTTATACGTCAAATTCTTAGAACTTGTTGATGGATTAAATGTGAGAAATAAGTGAAAGAAAGATAGCAAATATAGCTCCAAAATTTTGGCACAAGTGATTTGAAAACATCACTTGTGAGACTAAAAATATCTTTTGACAGATTTAGTATTTGCTCCACCGAAAAGCCATCTCTATAATTGGCCTTGCCTCAGTCTCTGAATATTTCCTGCATTATCCTTTTTTGTTTAGGTAATGAAAACTACTGCTAAAATGAAAATAACACCAGAGTGGGTGGATGGGGGTGCATCATTACCAGTCAGTAGTGGTGTCTCAACTAAAATTACTTTCAGACAAGCCGGATTACTACTTGCCAGAAAGGTATGAGAGATGATTCTAAGTATTACACAAAAGTATATTTTTATAGTTATGTTTGTACTGCATATTAGGAAAAAAATATAACCAGCTCAAACATGCAAGTTCATTGATATCATTACTTAAAATGAGAAAAGATTTAAAAAGTCCATTTAATGAGAAATTATGTAATAGTATAGGTGGTACACATGAAACACTGAAAATTGGAAAACAGACTTTTGAGAAATCAGGATAAAAGTAAGGCTAGAGAGGGTTCTGAAAAGTATGGACTCTATACAAAGAGGAGCCACAATAAAAGTTATGGATTCCTTCGAAGTAACCTGAAGGCACTGTGTAGATAGGGGTGCCAAAAGGGAATGGATAGTCACTGAATCACCGTTTATTCTGTATTTATGCTTTAAATGGAGCCAATATAATGTGTCATTAGACTAAGTGTAGTGACACAGGCTTGAGAATCAGCCTCAGTTCAAATTTTGATTGATAATTTCTAGCTTTATAATTCCATCCAAGATAATCAGTTTAAATATTGGTTTTTCTCATGTTATATGGAGATAATAATGGTATCTCCCTTATGGAGTTGTTATAAGAAATTAAATCATATATATTAGTTTATTTTCAATAAACAAACTATAATGTAACAATTCTAATGTATACTAATTTACGAGAAACTATTTGTTTCTTCTGGGGAATTACAGATATACCACTAACTGTAGTGAAAGCTAGGGGACTAATCTTTCTGAAAGAGGACTACCATACCATATGCTATAAGGAAAGAGATCATGCCGGTCACTAAACTAAAACTCCACAACGAATATCCAGTTACTAAAATTAAATAATTGTATTTAATCACTAGAATGTTATTTATACAAGTTCCTTAGATAAACTCTTGTTTCTCAGTATTTCTATTCCTAACATTAAGATGATAGAACCCTTGACTTCAGCTAGATTGCATGGATGGTACTAAGAAAATCTTTATCACCTAATGTTTACAGACTGCTGTATAAGAATGGAACATTTTTTGTTCTGAAGTACATGGACATCCAAACCTTATTTTTTAGTTCATTCACTTCCTGTCCATGGTTTCTGCTCAGTTGTTCTTCTAATTTCTCCAGGTGCATTTTTTGATCTTGTTTAATAGCATCACATTCAGAGCTCAAACTTTCTAACATTCGACTCTTGAGCTCAACTTCTCTCTGAAGTGTGTATTTTTCTTGTTCATAATTCTGAAAGCAGATTCAATTACAATTCAGTTGCATAAAAATAACTTAAAGCCATCATATATAAGCAGTTCTCACCTTCAATTGTTTCATTCCTGTTTTATACATTTGCTGCTTTTTAAGTAACAGTTACATGTAAAATCTGGAATAATTTAGTAGCCAATCAGTCTTAAAAAACTCCTACGGTTACTTTGAGATTGCATTCAAGTCTATGGTAGGGATATGGTAATTACTTCTATGCACTGCCAAAGAAGTAAAAAAGGGTTCCATGGCATGTTAATGTGGCATATAATCTCTGCTAGGGGGAAAAAAAAAAGAAAAAGAAAAAAAAGTAATAACACTTATCAAACCATTACTTGGTTTGATAATAACATGCTCTACTCATAGCTCTTAATAAAAGGAAGAAACAGTAGACTAGGTGTAAAGTGAAATACTAAGTCAGCCCTTACTTTTAGAATGTAGTCACCTAATAAATGTTCACAAATGACTACTTGAATGAATACTCCCTTGAGACAAAAGGAATATTTAATAGGACTTTTTCTTACTGACAAGAAAATTTAAAGATAAAAGGGGCATCAGTTCAAAATCCTTCAATAAGGTTAAAAAAATAAGATTAAATAAAAGATAAAATTAAAAAGTAAAAGCTGCCATCAGTTATTTTTACCTGCTATATTTAAATTTTGAGATGGAAGTTTACATGTTACAGTTTACTAAATAACCTGATTTATTGAGTTTTTTCAATAAACATGTGTCAGACATTAGGGATACAGTAGTGAACAAGACAACAAAATCCTCTCTCTCATGGTGTTTTTAATGTGGAAGTAATTAGCATTACAGAGAATTAAGAGAGTGAATAATGGAAAATTTACAATACATAGTCAGCCTCTCTGCTGAGGTGACATCTAACAGAAACCTCAAAGTTGAGAACTCAATCCATTTCAAGTGAGGTATGAATAACTCAGATGGAGGCAACAGCTCATATAAAGCTCATAAGGCAGGGCTGGTATAGCTAAGAACGAGAGAAAGTAGTCTGAGGTGAAGTCAAAGGTTGGCAGGGGTCAGATCACATAGGGATTTGCAAACCCAGGTAAGAAGCTTGGATTTTTTGTAAATATAATCGGAAGCCATTGTATGTTTTTAGCAGGGCTGTGACATTTCTTGTTTATTCTTTGATGACCACTTGGCTGCTGTATAAAGAGTGAATGCATGAACAGCAATGAGGGAAGCAGGCAACCTGGTTAGAAGGCTACGGTAGTAATCTAGGGGAGAGATAATGGTGGTCTGGACTAGAATGGCAGTAGCGTAAATGAATGTTTTATAAGTCAAGGTCTTAGAGCTTATTAATGGATTAAATATGATAAATAAGAGACAGAAAAATATCGAGTAAAACTACGATTTCTGGCTTGAGCAACTGGATGGATGTTATTACATTTACTAAATAAGCTAAAGAAAACTGCAAAAGAATGTTTGGTTAGTGGGCAAGGGAATCAACAATTCTGTCCGTTTATATTAAGTTTGAGATGTCCATTAGCAGGCAAGTGAATACACAAGTCTAGACCTTAGAGGACAAGTAAGGACTTGGTGTAGTGTCAGGGGCATTTAGATGTTATCTAAAGCTATGAAACGAGTGAGGTTACTTGTTTCATAAGAAGAGTGCAGACAAAACCAAATATAAAATCCAATACATGAAGAGAGCAAACATAAATTGATTTTTTAAACTCAGAATACACTGGGTCGGAAAGTACATTAGGAATTCATTTAGTTCATTCCCCTTTACAGGGTTAGAACTAGATCTAAAATATTCAGAAAATAAAAATAATATTAATTACTAGACAACACAAATCTTCAATAGCTAAGCACACCCTAGTAAACAGAGGAGTCTAGAGTCCTACCTCAGTTATGGTCATTATTTCATTACGACATTTATCTAATTGTGTCTGCAATTCATTTTGACTCTCTACTAGTTGTAAACCATACTGTGCAGCTTTCAGTCGTTCTTCTTCAACCACTTTGAGCTTGCAACGAAGATCTGCAATTATATCTTCCTCCATAATTTTTTCCTATTTTTGGTCAGCTGTAAATAGAGAAAATAAAAGTATTTAAGCTAAAAAAACTTCATACAATGATATCAATTAAAATATATATTTTTTTCAATACCACTGTGATACAAAAACATAGTATGAAAGATTTTCTCCCTGATTTTTAAGTGGTTATATTTACATTCTTGTTCTAAGAATGTATGATTTCATTACCTGATTTGTGATCAAATCAAACAGAGCAAAAAAAAGATATATTTAATTTTGCTCTTAAGAAATGCAGTATCCGGAAACTGTTCAATGTTGTGTGCTAAGCTTCCTTAAATGCTGTTAGGGTGAGTCTCATAATTATATCATTATACAGGTAATCAAGTTAAGACAAGAATGAAAGAAATCAAAAAACTTTATAGTAGCATGACTGCTACTTAACATATGAAAAGGCAGCTTTGAATAAGGTTCATAAGAACCATCACGTCCACAATTTTTCACAATAGTGATGACTTCCTGAACACATTAAATTTGCCACATTAAACATGCTTTATTGAAAACAGACTCACTAGTATTTTCCTAGTTATTCATAAGAAGGCATGCAAAACAGAAACCATGTTCAGAGTAAAGAACATTGCTGTCATTTTACATTTTTAAGCAAGGACTTAAATTATAGAGAAACATTCCGCTTTAACTCAGCCTCACTTATCATCTTTTCCAAACTGGTCTCAGCCTCTTAGGCCAGGCTCAAACTCAGCCTTGCCTTCAAAGGGCAACAGTCCATTATCAAGGTGTTCCCCCATGTCTCTAATCAATGTAGTCAAATATGTTCTTGAATGCGTTGTATGCTGAGTCCACTCTGTATACTTCAGATACATCAGATGTCAAATGGACCAAAATGGATTTTATATTTGGTTTTGTCTGCACTCTTCTTTCATGAAACTTACCTGCCTGTAAGCACTAACCATATAATAATTAAATAAACTAGCAAGTAGAAATGGGGAAAGAAAAACAAACGGACAAGGGAACTTGGAAGAGGTCCCCCTTAATACCAATTCAAACATGTGTATATGTTTGAACTGATATTGTTTAACTAGGGTGAAATTTAAAACAAGTATTGGAGTGGAGGGAGGCCCTCAGGTGACTTCTGAGCAAAGTCTTGGAGAGTATAAAAGAATGAACCCATGTACCTATTCAGGGAAAGAATGTTCCAGGCATAGGTGTAGCACTATATCAGAAGGAAGCCCAAAGAATGTGTAAGACAGAGTTCAGGTCACAGGATCACAGGAGATAATAGGGGAGAACAGGCAGATCACGCCATTGTAAGCTTATCTCTGGGTGAAATGGGAAATTATTGCAAAGTCTGGAAGAAGAGAGTTGATACCTTTAAAAAGATCATTTTGGCTGCTATTTTTAATATTTTGAAGGTTAGCAAGTTGAAAGCAGAAAGACCAGGTGAGATGATTGCTCACACAAGGTTGTTGCATGAGGTGAGAAATGGTCAGATTTTACATATATTTTGAAAGTAAAGCCAACATTTTCTGACAAATAGAATGTCGGATTGTGAAAAAGAGAGAAGTCAAAAATGCCTCCATGGCTTCTAGCCTAAGTAACTAGTAGAACAGATTTGCCATTAGCTGAGGCATCAAAAACTGTGAGTAAAGACTATTTTAGACAGAAAATCAGAGGCTTAAGTGTTGGGCATGACATATGTCAAGTAAGCAGTTGGCTACAATTAAAAGGAGAGGGATCTGGGCTGAAGATAGAAATTTGGGAGTTATTAGCATAAATCCTTGATCCTTGATATCACCAGAGGATGAGCACAATTAAAGAAAAGAGGGCCAAGGAGTGAGCCCTAATAAGAGACAGGAAAGTAAAACAGCAAAGTATAAATTAAACCAAGAGGATGCACTGTCCTGGAAGCCAATTAACAAAAGTATATTAAGGAGGTACATGTGATCAACTGTGCCAAATGCTAAGTCAAGGAGAGAACAGAGAATTGGCCATTGGATTTTAATTCAGAGGTCACTAGTGACCCTAAGAGCAGTTTTGGTGGAGAAATGGGGGCAAAAACCTGGCTGGAATGAGTTGGAGAAAGAATAATATGAGAATAGCAGACAGCAAGTAGTTTTGCCACAAAGGAGAGTAGATAAATGGGGCAGTACCTGGAGCGGAAGTAGGATCAGGTGTTTTGTTTTTTGTTTCATTTTTAAGATTTAAAAAAAAAAAAAAATTAAGAAAAATTATTACAATTCTAAAAAGTTTAAGAAGAAAAAATAACAGTATGCTTGTATGCCATCGGATAGATGCAGGAGAGAAGAAAAACTGATATAAAAGACATGGAAAATTGCTGGAGTGATGAGTAAAGAGGATGATCTAATGCACAAGAACTAATTTTAGACAGAAGTATGAATATTTCATCTACAATAAGAAAAAGCAAAGTATTATGGGTACAGACATTGATAAGTAGGTAGATATAGTGGTGAGAGTCTGCATAGTACTCTTCTAACTGCTTCAATTTATCTGTGAATTAGAAAGCAAGGTCTTTAAGAATGAAGATGTAGAGGTTTTAGAAGAGAAAAAATAAGTATCCTCCATTATCCAAAGCTGGCATTAACTGCTCTAAAATGCAAGACCTTCCCAAAGCCTGTACATAGTGGGGCCAGCCACTAACTGTTACACTGTTAATTTATATTTGTTGAGGATTTGCCATTTGACAGGAAAAGTGCTTTAAACACATTATCTCACTGAATTAAGTACTATCACCATAAACATTTACTGAAGAAAAAAGAGCTAGCCTCAAGACATCCCCACCAGCAATGTCCAAAGAAGCCAAAATATTAGCTTCAAAAGAATTCAAAAATCATTCAAAACATTTGCTAGAATTCCTATTATGTGTCAAGTACTGTGCTATTGCTGAGAACACGATGACCTTCAAACTAGACAATATCCCTGCCTTCTTGAATCTTACAGTCTATGAGTGGAAAGGCATTAAGTCAAATAACTGAACAGTCAAGTTACAAGTGTGGTAAGTGCAAGAGGGAGAGATGTATGGTGCTTTCAGAGACCATAACACAGAGGAGCTGTCCTAATCTGGTTAGTGGGGCCAGGGTAGGGGGAAATATGGACAGGAGAGATTCCCTAAGGAAGTGACTTTTCAGTAGAGGTCTAATGGTTGAGTACGAGTTAATCAATCTGCAAAGAGAGGGTTGAATAATAACTATATCTAATATGTGTCATACATTGTGCTTGGTGCTTTGCATACTTTATCTTATTTAATCCTCTCAACATCCCCATGGAATATAAAGTATTTCCCCTAATTTACACATGTGCAAACTGAGGCACAGAAAGGTTAACTTGCCCAAGGTTTATCAGCTATTAAGTGTCTAAAGGAGATGGGAATCAGGATCTGGATCGAAAGCCTGGTGTTCCTAACCTCTTTTCTGTTCTGCCTCTCGGAAAGAGCATACACAAAACATTTAGGAGACAGAAAGCTCTGGGAAACAGGTTGCCTGAGTTCTTACCCCACATTCACTACTCACTGGCTGCATAAACTTGGAACTTATTTAATGTCTTGTTTTGTCATCCATAAAATAAGGACAATAATATCTACCTAAAAGGATTTTTGAGAAGATTAAACCAGCCAATGGGTGAAGAGCAATTAGAGCAAACTCCGACCCGCAGCTGTCTGGGGAAGCCTGTGCAACAGAAACATAATGTGAGCTACATGTGATTTTTAATTTTCAAGAAGCCACATTAAAAAATATAAATACAAGTGAAATTCCTTTGAATATTTTGTTTAATCCAGGGATCCAAAATATTATTTCCACATGTAATCACTATAAAAATTCGAAATCCGGGGTGTATTTTACATTTATAGCATTTCTCATTTGGACATGTGGCTAGTGGCTATGGTACCGGATAGCACAGATCCAGTGTTTCTTTCGGAGGCCGGCAGCCAACCCCGACTTCCATATTTATGCAGAATCCCCGGGGGCAGCAAGGCGGCCCAACGGAAAATTGAGACCGGCTCGGAATTTGGTTTACACGAACGCTGTGTTCCGCTGAATAAACTGTTCTGGCTAAACGCCTCGGCGAAGACCCAGGCCCTATGTATCCTTAGGCTCTGCTCTCTCCTCCCCAGTATCCCTTCTACGCTGTTCCCCGCTGCTCCTCGGCAGACGCACTTTCCTTCAGGCCCTTTGCCCCTACCTCTCTCATTCCTTTCCCCTGCTGCTACAAGTGGCGACTTGTGATGAGAGTTCATCGCGCCCAGGTCCGTGAGGGGAACTAAACTCACCACAGAAACATCAGCGGATTCACTCAGCTCACTCTCCCGAAAGCGCCAGGGATTTTTGAATGCAGTTCCCGCGAGAATACGAACTTCTCACGAGATGTTCCGCCCAAGCCGCACGTAAAGGAAAAAGCGAGAACGCCCATCAGAGTGCCCCGCCCACCTGCTGCGACTTCCGTTTCGCAAGCGGAAAGCCGTGGGTTTGCGGTAGGCGCAGGCGTGACTTAGTCTTGTCAACTTTACTCATAGTTGGTTTCCTGGGTGTGTAACAAGCTTTCGCTTTTGGGTGCCGTGTTTTTTGTTTTGTTAAAACGATAGTACCTTCTGGAGAGACCGTGCCACTGGAAGGTGAGGCAGTGGGGAATTCTGAGATGTGGCGGCCTCATACTCCGTACCAGTGGATTGGCCAGTGTGTGCTCTAAGGGGATTGCCCCCAGATAGATACCTGTCATATGGTTCCAGGAATCTGAATCAGTGTGACAGTGCCAAAAAGCATCATAGGGCAGAATCACAGGTACCTTTAGCAGACAGACTAATAGCTATTATAATGGGGTTAACATTTGAGCCTTCCCCGTTTACCAGTACAGTGTTAAACTTTACACAGGTTATCTCATTTAAGCCCGCCAACAGCCTTGTGAGGTGGATACAGAGGAAAACAAAGCCCACAATAAGAAAAGTGTGTTGGCCAAGTGGTAGAATTAGAGTTTGAACTAATGCAGTCTATTGCTAAGTCCAAGCTCTTGCCTGTGTGTTTAAGTAATGAATTTATGTTTTGTAACCTGATACCTATTCATTATTCGGAAATAATAATAACCAACATTTCGTGAGCACTTCTGAGTCCTAGCTGCTGTTCTGTGGATCATGTGTTTTTAAGTCTCTTACCTACTTAAGGGCTTGGTCATATCCCATCTCATTATTAGTTTTTTCTCTCCTATTGGCTCTTCCATATCAACATAAACATGTTTTCCTCTCAAAAAATATAATGTGAGCTACATATGATTTTTAATTTTTAAGGAGCTTTCCTCTCAACACTAACCTCCCTTGACCTCAATCAGCTACTACCCAATTTATTTGCTTCCCTTGATAGCAAAAGTCCTGGGGAAAAAAGTTTCGACTTGCTATCTTCACTTTTTTACCTTTTATTATAACTTTTTGCCACTTAAGATTTTGGTCCCTGCCCGTCCAGTGAAGTGGCTTTTCTCAATGTCACCAGTGAGTTCTAGTTTACAAAATCCATTATTTAGTCCTCACGTCTCTTGACATTTGACAGTTGATTGCTCTTATTGAGTCTTCTTTTAGGTCTTAGGATGCCACACCCTTCTTGCTTTCCTCTTCTTAGTTTCCTTTGCAGACTTCTGTTTCTTATTGAGCTAGGCCAGACCATAAAGGATTGATCTGGGTTTGTTGAGGGCATTCAAGGGTAATTAGCAAAATCATGGAAGTTATCCATATCACAATTAAGGTCATTCATTCTTTAGGAAGTGTCTGTATAGAATGCTGCTACTACCACCACTGGACACTAGATGTCACAAGTGAAATGAATTCTAGATGGTCCCTGCTTGTTTAGATAAATGGCTTAAGATTCACAGTTCCATGGGGAGCACAGCAAAGAGAATGTAGTCAGCAGTAATGTAATGGCTATGTGTAGAGCCAGAGGGGTGATAAGAGTAATTTGGATCATTTCATAAACTATATAAATGTCTAACCAATGTACTGTATACTTGAAACTAATACTAAAATAAAATACTAAAATAGAACGATTCATAGTTCCAGATGGAGGTCCACATACCATGCACTAAATGCCAAGGATCAGAGAAAAAAGCATATATCTGTCATTTTGAGTTTACATAATGAGAGATGAGATTTTGCCTCCTCACACAGGATGGTGAATTCACCAAGCGTAAGAAGGGAATTTCGATGCTGGGAAAAACACCGCCCCTCCTCTCCACCCGCCTCCACCACCAATACAATTCCTAATATAGCTGTTCAAAACTGGGATAGACATCCGTACTAAACTGGCCATCATTTCTTCACTGTGCCTGTTCTAGTGGAAATGAGATGCTGGTTATCAGAAATGATGTAGAAGGGAATGTTGCATTATACTGAAAGCTGTGTATATTTTGACATGAATTTACTGATTAAGTTTGGTTTGGGGACTATAGGTGAATAGTCTCTGTCCTCAAGGAACTTAGAATTTAGTGGAAGGGGCATTTACTAAACAATAAACCCTTACTTAGAGTATGGCTTAGACTGTCATGGTCTTTTATATTACTAAGTAAAGCTCCAAGCTAATCTTTTTGGGGTTAAGCAAGAATAAAACCAGGTCTCTGAGACAAAGTTTGCAAACAAATGATAAATTTATAGGAGGGGCCAGGAGTTAAAGTGTTGGAAGTTACAGTCAAGGTCACTTAAGGTCGTGGTCATTGAAACCTGGAGAACGACAGATCAAGGAAAGAGGCAGAGGGGGCGGGGCGAAGGGAGAGAGAACGAGGGGAGAAGAGGGGAGAGCAGTGCAGGCTATGTGCAGGACTTCGGTGATTGTTTTAATTCACGGAACAGGAGGAGAATAAGGATCTGACAAAAGAAACAGAAGAGCCATTTGAGACGAGATCAGGAAATTGAATTGTCAAAGCCCCTTTTGTGATAATTTGATATCAAAACGAATAATTTTACCAGGGGACGGGTTTGATTAATAATAATAATGAAAATGACAACCCAGTCTACAGTCTCTCCTGGCCCTGCTATGTATAGCACCAGGTTCAGCTCTTCATGATCCCTATTGCTATACTCTTTTATGCCCTGAAGAGGTGCAACCCTCACTCAGAGCAAAGTTGTGCCATTCCAGTACTGTGGGCCTTTATTGGTTAACTTTCCAGCATTAATACCCTCCTCCTTTTCCTGCCAAAGCATTTTGATTATTCTTTGGGTAATTCATCTTTCCCTCCATTTTCAGCCATGTGGATTGTTTAAAATTGATACTACCCTTCAGCTTTAGGGTATTCCATCATTCGCATTATAATAATTGGTTCAGAGGTATGCATGTGACTGAATCCAAGTCAATGAAATAAAATGAGAAATTCACTGCTGGAAAAATGGATTTCGTTAACCGCTTCTGTACTTAAACTTCGCAGCCTAGAGTTGCCAGCTGCTGTCTTGGGTCCATGAAGCTTAAGTCTGCTTGAAAGAATCAAAAGCAGAGCTGATAAATAGCAAGGGAGAAGACAGTTCTGGTCATGCTGTTTGGGCCTTACATGAGGCTCCCCTTGAAGCTCGAGATATCCCTGAACCATTTAGTTTTTCTCAAGTGGATTCAATTTGAAATTTGCAACATAGAGTTTTAACCAGTACACTCTCAATAATACTTATTTCTGAGCTTTAGTGGACTAATCAACCTGTCAAGTTCTTATTCTACATTTAAGATTTTATGAGGCTAAAACGGAAAGTTGTTAATTTCCAAAGAGAACATCTAGAGATGGCTCCTCTGAGAAAAATTCTTTGGTTAAACCAGAAGGAAACTTCATTTTAAATGAAGGAGCATTATGTATAGTGGAGGAAAATGAAGATCCTGACAGCTTCACGTAATCCCTCTCTTGGCACCACTTCACATTACCATTACGCCCCTGTTAAGCTAACTTCTTCAGGTGATTTTAGCACCTAAGCCAGTTAGAATTAACACTGAATATTTATATCAGTTGTGGTTTTCACTTGCCAAGAATAGTACCTACTCCAGTTAGTTTGATATAATGTACATTAAAAAATACTAGCATCTTAATTTTTCAACTATTTACAAGACTGTACTTGGTACTGATAAGTTCCTGTCTTTTGGTACCTGTTACATATTCCTTTTATTTTCCAACTAGTTGAGACTCTTTATCTACTACACTGACCCAGATCTACACTGCTGAATACAAACATATTTACTGATGATTTACATTGCTCACTATTCTGATGCCCCAAATTTATTTGGTCTAATAAAGTGGGATGGAATTAAACTTAGGGTCCTGTTCTTTCTCTGAGAGGCTGAAACTATCACACTGTGTGTGTGTGAATTCAGTGGAAAGAAGTGACTGCCTCGATGTTGTAATGCTCAGTTTAATGTATTTTATTCCTAGGAAAAACAACTTGGGAATGCACATAGTAAAAGGGGAAATGATGTCAGCACCCTCAAGGAAGCAACTGAATACACCTGTTCAGTAATGCTTGCCTATAAACTACCTCCTGTCTGTTACCACTAGGTGACAGTGTTTGCAAATATTTTATCTGAAGGAAGGGTCTTTCTGTTACAGAAGTTAGATTCTATTGGTAGATATGATTACCTTGCTAGTTTCAGCTAGATTAGGCAAATGCACATATTTGTTATAACCTACACTCTTAGTCATTTGAGATTAAAATTATTTTTTATCTGGAATACTCTTCTCCTACTTAGTTTACTCTAAGCTATAGACAAAATTGTGTCTGTCAGAATTCATATGGTGAAGCCCTAACCCCTAGTAGGACTGTATCTGGAGATAAGGGCTTTAGGAGGTAATTAAAATTAAATAAGGTTGTAAGAGTGGAGCCCTAATTCGATAGGATTGGTAACTTTATGAGATGAGGAAGAGAATGAGAGATCTCTTTCTTTTTCTGTGCAGCACAAAGGAAAGGCCATGTGAACATACAGTGAGAAAGCACATCTGCAAGCCAGGAAGAGAGCCCTCACCAGAAACTGAATGGGCAGCGCCTTGATCTTGGACTTCCCATCCTCCAGAACTGTGAGAAATAAGTTTTCTGTTGTTTGAGTGTTTTGTTATTGCAGCCTAAACAGACTTCTATCCTCTGCCTCATATTTTCCCTGGAGGTGCCCTATGACTAATGGTTAAGAATACAATATGTGTTCTGGAGTCAGCATCTGGGTTCAGTTGCAGGCTCTGTTTTCTAGTAGTGGTTGCATTTAAAAAATTGCTTAGCATGTCTAAGCCTCAGTTTTCTCAAGTACAAAATGGGATGCAAAGTACCTAATTCAGTAGGTCATTGTGGAGTTTAAATGAGCTCATACATTTTCAACACTTAGTATCATGTCGGTAAATGGTAGCTATTATTAAGAGCATTGCCTCAGCTCAGATGTCACTTTCTGGGGCCCCTTTTTTCAATCCTAAGGCTAGGGCAC